GGGGGTTTGGCCATTTTTGGTGCCCTAGGAGTAATAAGTATTACAAGAAGGAGAATAGTTAATGTTTGAAATTAAAAAGCCCATTACTGCACTTGAGCTAAAGATGCTCTGTGACATTGCTAGCAAAGGTGAAGCTGCCTTTGGACTTCAGGAGGTGGAAAAGTGCTGACCAGCTCAAGGTCCTTCAACGAATGTGATTTTTACACTAACACAAGATATTCCTGTACTTTCACCTAAAAACATTTGGAGCCTAACTGATCAAATTGGCACTGCAGGCTGCAGAGTACTGGGGATGACTGGTAAGGAAACACATACATGAAAAACAAAAGACTATGCAGAGGGAGCAGTTGAAAGGATAAATATACCATTATGTTGGGTATGCTGACATCTCTATCTGACTCATACTGACTGCCTGAATTGTATAACCATTCACAGTGTTTCTGAAGTTAGGTCCATTACTGTGATGTCTAACACTACCAGAATTGTGTTGAATTACAGTTTTTTTCTGGATGAGAATGATTCTCCTCAGGGACAGTCACTTCAGCTAAGAAATACTTGTCCTTCTTGGATTAAAAAAAAAACCCAAAACATCTTAAAATATCACTTATGAAAGTGGTGCTTTGTCAAAGATAAAGGTTGTACTTGATTTCAACAAAGTAGAGATTGAACAAATTTTGGAACATGATGTATGGAAATACGGGAATTTCTCAACACATCCAAGATTATATTCTGTGTAATAACCTGGCTCAGCATTGAAAACAAAGTCACAAATGTTCTACTAGCCCCAAGCTGAACAGGAAATTTGGGAGAGAAGGACCAGCGGCTGTTGCTTTGGGTAGGGTCACTGGGAAAAAGTTGCGGCTATAGGAAAGGAAATCTAGAACAGAACATGACCTGGCCTTGAGGGTTAAATTTCCAAGCAAAGTCTAGATGCAGTAGCTGTGCCATGTCTTGGAAAGGAGACTGTTCTTCTGCATGGGCAGCAGTACTGCTCAGAGCAGCTGCTGCAGCCGGCAAAGGCAAATATGATAGGATTGAAGAGGCTGTCTGGGGGCCATGCTGACAACCTCTGTGCAGCTCTGGTGTTGAGGCCCTCCTGCAGCAACCCTTTAGGGTGGAGATTCTGTTCAGAGGATCCACAGAGGAGGAAAGTCCACGCTAAAATTAAACAGCTCAACAAACATCCAGTGCCTCTCCTAACACCAGAGCCAAGGCATGTGCTTTTTCCAGTCACCCATTCTCATACCTCTGCTCTCCTTCCTGGAAAAAAAACTTTTCTCTCCCTTCTTGGCCCTGACTGCTTTGTGTAGATGCTGGTTGACTCACAGGCAGAGCTGGTAGTGATAACCGCCCTCAGGGTAATCTCAGTGTCTGAATATAATGTTTGCTTGATTATTTGTAACCCGCTAAACTGCAGGTTTCACAATCTTTGCTTTTAGCCAATGCCATAAATAGATTTAATGCAACACTTATCGTCAAGCCTGCATGATGCTGATAGGCTTTCAGTTCATAAATCACATGCGTTTGTCATCCCTCTAAGCCACTTAATGTGACAAATCACACCATCTCTTGTGTCAAACTGCCCAGAGTTAACAAGCTACTCTTACTTCACCTTATGGAAAGTTCAGCCCTATTTAAAGCCAATTTAGACACACACAGAGAAGTTACAGAAGTGGTGTTACAGAGAGATGTGTGGTGAGGTTTGGAAGAGACTTATCCTACCCAGGCAAAGCTGAGGCAGACAGGTAGGAACAGAAATCAGTGATGGAAATGTCCACTGATTACAGAGGGAGGAGTCCTGGATTCAGGTTGGACCACAGACTGTTGGGACACCTGTCTGATATTGAAATAAAACACAAGAGTAAAGGATTGAAGCACAAAATGTTATCTCAGACTTTGTGTTTCTGCTGCTGGAAATGCTCTCCTTCAGCTGTCATTGCAACTCTGACCGAGTTCTCGCAAAAAGGACATGTCTTCAAATCACTGACAGGGCCAATTTACTTACTTTAGCCACACTGAATTGTATCTTTCCTATAGCATGTCCACAGTGCAGGTGCTTAAACTGAGCCAGGAACAGGAGCTTCTTACATGTTTTTCTTTGGCTCAGACAGAGTTTGAAGCAAAGTCTTGTGCATGTCTGTATCAAAGGACATTATAGTTTCCTAATGGCATTCAGGACTGATTTGCTGTACAGTCTTCCCCCTGCTTTCTTTTGTGTGGTGTTATTTCAAAGCAGTGACTGATTGTTATTTAGCAAAGATGGGAAAAAAAATCTGTCCTTCACTGTAGCATTTGTGACACTGCAGAAACACTGGATTTCCTTCTAACCTTAATCTTTATTTATCCTTAATGAACCAATCCTATTGTTCAGAAACAATATATTGAAGGATTCACAAACAGTTGAACATGTATAATAAACTAGAAGTGATGTGTAGTAATCTCCTACTCTTCAAAGACACTGATATTGATATGAGACCTGCAACCAAGAGTAGGAAAGAGCATAAAGGAAATAAATGTAGCTCAGCACAATGTTTAGCAGCTGACACGATATGGAGTTTAAAGTCCAGTCAGAGGTCTTGCCCTGTGCATGACCCCACATGGCATCTCTTTGGCCAGCACTGAGCAGTAGTGAGAAGCCAGCATGAACAGCTGAGGACAGAGTGCCCAAGGCAGGACTGTTCATATTTGCTGGAGCAGTTGCAGTGCAGTCTCACTGCAGCACCTCTCAGTTCAAGAAACCATCAGTCACAGACAAGAAGAGGAGTCCCCATGGGACATGCAGCAGCCAGGGTGATCCCTGTGGTGTGGAGCTGGCTTGGAATTGTGTCTATACAGGAAATATTAACTCATGTTTAAGATCCTGATGCTAGAGAGAGGTTTGGTCTGCTCAAGCTGCTTGTGCAACAAGTCAGGCTGCAACTGAGGAGTAAGAAGAGCTGTATTAGTGAGCTGGGCACCCATGGGACCCTTTTTGAGAGCAGAATGGGTTCATAACACCTGGCCCCTCTTTGCTGCAGGGAGGGATCCCTAAAGATTGTCTGTATCTCAAGCAATTCTTGCTAAGAAATCTCACTACTGAACACTTCATGTGTATTATTCCTGTAATAACTACTTTTACTTTGTAGAAGAAGCTGCATTTACCATCTGTATTATAGGACAAAGCATGATTTGATCATCATGGGGGAGAGTAAATGGAGTTTGTTTTGTTACTGTCTTTATTCAGCTGTGTTTTCTCCACTTCATACTACAGCTGGGATTTCTTCTGTTCTATAAGAGTTGACAAGACACCTACAAGCTTCAAGCATGAGTGGGGATGGCAGGTCCTCCAAAGCACATTCCTGAAAAGCCCACCCATGAGGTCTGGTTTAACAGGTTTAACAGAGCCAAGGCTCTGCAAAGACTGGGGTGTCTAAACAACACCATCCTGAGTTGCAGCAGAGCAGTGAGCCTGCACTAGCTCACTCAGCCCAGACTCTCACCAGCACCATGGGTTTCCATCATTTCTTCTAGGAAAAGGGGCTGCTCCCAGGGTAAGTTACAGCTGTTAGCAGATCAAGGTGCCAATCAACTGGATTATTTAGCCTGTGACAGGGTGTCACTGGGAGCGATTTTACTGTGTTAAACAACTTGTTATGAACAAAAAAAATTTGTCCTTCAGTGTATCATTTGTGAACTGCAGAAAGACTAATTACACTCTCCTCAGTCACCAAGGGTTTGTATCACATTGAAGGTGCTTTTCCCTTCTGAAATGCTGCAGGGATGTTTTGAACCCAGTTCAAAGCAATTTTTCTTTGCTTCGTTAGTCACATTCTCATCTTCTGAAAAATCTCAGTTTCTGCAAGTGACTTTTAACAAAAGCAGTGCTGCAGAAGCAAAGGGAGGGTAGAGGGGATGGGGACCTGTGACACACTGAGGAGGCAGCAGAGTTGAGGGAGAAGATGGCCTCACACCCTCTCTCACCCTCTGACACCTGGGATGCAGGGCTGGGAGATGAACCCCTTCTTTCTCCTGGTGGTCACTTTTGGGGATCTGTCTGCTTGAGCTCCACCTGAGGCAGCAGAACCCCAGCCAGCAGCAGCAGCTGCATCTCTTTGTGTGTGATTCCTGTTCCATCCCAAATACTTGCCTTCCCCAAGCATTAGAGCTGCAAAAAGGAAAGCATAGGAGATCGGGGTCTGAGGACAGGCCTGTGTTTGAAGACACAGATAGTTACATCAGTCACTGGGAGGCTTTGTGATGAGGCTGGTCAGGATGTCACCCTGCTTCATCAGCTTCTGCTGAGCCCAGAGCTGAAAAGTAGGAAAGAAAACAACTCAGTACTTCTGCTAAAATTAAGTTCCACATCAACAGCAAAGGGTATCTGGGTTCAGTTTTTGCACCAATGTTACACAGAGTATTTGTACAATCAAACTCCAAGGTGGTGCATAGGAATTTCAAAGTCACCATAGACCCTGTGTGAGCAATAGATTACAGCAGATATGGAGGTGGCACCTCCACCCTCCCACCACCTTGTTCATTTGGAGGAGGACAGTCCCCTCACTTCATCTGCCAGAATGCCCTCCAGACTGTGGGGCTTCCTGCTTTTCTGGGCACCCCCACTGGTGAATGCTGTGCTAAGCCCAGATCTCAGTTATTCATAGACAAGAGTTCAAACTATGGTGACGTTGTTATGAATTCGCTCAAAAGAGTGATATGGTTCAATCAGAGAAAAGTTTTATTAATTACAGCAAGCAAGCAATAAGCAATTGGCTGGTAACAATAAGCAATAGGCTGGGGTCTTCTGCAGCCCCTTCTGATCCTCATGGTCTCCAAGGCACATCTCACCTTCCTGATTAATGTTTCAGCCATCCTCTAATGCAAACTGGGACTAAACCCTGCAGTTTTCCAACAAAGCTTGTAATTCCAAAGGAATTTTAATGGGTTTTAGATATATACCCCACATCTAATACTTCTGCTGAGTTCCTGATTTTTAGTACTCTGCAGAATTATGAATTTTCACTCCCAGGCTCAACTTTTAAAGGACTTCTCAGGTTTCACTTGAGAATCCAGGCTGGAGCAGTATCAGGAGTCCTGTGATGAATATGCACTTGGGAAGCCCAAGTTTTCGTAATTTCTGTATGAAAGCTGGTTTTGCTGGGAAGAGCTGTCTGGTTTTGCCTGTGTGCTTGCTGCAGAGCCCTGGAGGGATGTTGACACAGGCTGCAAACCTGCCTGGGACGCAGGGGAGCCCACGCAGGCCTGGCCAGCAGGAAGCACCTGTCACAGGCACTGCAGAGACCTGCATGTCACAGAGCAGCAGAAGGTAGGCAGGAAGCCCTGCAGGTCTGAAATGCCCCGGGACTGCTCTAGGAGGAGGCAGGGATGCTCCTCATTGCTCACTTTGGTGTAACTGGAAATAAACACAGTGCATGAGTGCCCCATATACACAGGGATGGGCTGTCTTCCCCAGAGGTTTTCAGCTATTTCACCAGATAGATAAGGAGGAAAGACATCTGCCAGAGAGGGGAATTCAACCGTGTTGAAAATTTGTGGCTGCAGTTTGGACCCTTGTCATGCCCACGTACTGTGTCATTGAGAGAGGAATTCAGTTACCATGGGTTACCCTATCAGTACGGGGACCAAGTGCCTCCCCTCCCAACAGCTCTATAAAAAGAGTCGCTCCAAGACACCCCAGCGGCTTCTGCATACCGGCACAGACCCAGAGAAACTTGGCCACAGGGGGACGGCCGCCAGAGGAGGTGTCAGCATGCCGTCTGCTTTCCAGTTTCAATGCCACCTCGTTCTCATCTTCCTGGCAGCTTCCAAGGGAGAAACCAGATACCTAGAGGTGAGCAATAGGACTGATGATTAAACATCTTGCTGTGCTTTTAGCTGCTATCTTCTAACTTGTACTCTAAGCTTTCAAGTATTGTGCTTTATTCTCTCTTCCTTTCCTATTCCCGCTTCTCCTGCATTTAACTTACACCTGGGTAACATTAATGCAACAGTCCCATGTATTCTGTACTAGCCCTCTCTTTATTTATGCTCAGCAGTTTTGCTGAGGATTTAAGAGACTCTCAGTGCACTTAGCTGCTGGGCTCACCTCTTAGATGCCAGGTTTATTTCCCCTCTGCTGCAGGTTGGCAGCTTTCTGCATGAGCTGTTCCACAGCTCCTGTTTCTGCAGGAGGGATGTAATGTGCTGTGCCTGTTCTTGAGAGGTGCAGGGAGAGGGCTGCATTTCACTTTGCCCCAGACTCTTTTTGCCCTCCATCTTCCACCAGGTGAGGGATGCTGGTGGTGAAGATGACCCCTTCCTACTACTCAGTGAAGATCTGAAGCGAGAGCTGTCTGCAGGACAGATCTACCGGCGGTCGCTCCGTGAGTTTCTTTGGTCCCTCTGGCAGGTGGGAGAATCCTGGGGGTACCTCAGGGAGGTGAAAGGGCTAATTGGGAATGACAGAGCTGCAGGAGCTTTTTGCAAGACTAGAGAGAAAAAGGACAAAGCATTAAATCCACAGAAACCTGTGGTTTGAGGCAGAGGGTTCGGGTTCATAGTTGATGGTCACACATAACTGGAGCAGGATGGGGATTCCCTACCCATGTCCCCAGGCAAGGTCACATTGCCAAGGGGTGGGGCAGGTGTAGTAGCTGTAACGGGGGAGAAATATGAAAGAATAGCGTGTTTGTGCGCATACACACACAGAGTTTTCTGCTCAGCGATGCATTGACATACCTTCCCCCCTCATCCCCCCCGTCACGCGTTTGTGCTCACACCTGCGAGCTACTATTCATCTTCTGATGCTCAGCAGGCTCCTAATTGCTTCAGCTGGCTCTCCCTGTCCTCACTGCCAGCCGGCTCCCAGCGCGGGGGGGTCTCTCCTATCCCACTCCTTTCCTGCACAGTGGGAGCTGGCACCGAGTCTCCCTCCAGAGCAGGCAGAGGCAGTAGTCCTTTGTCCCTGCTTCTCCAGGGTGCATTGACATGCTGAGTATAGAGGGGCAGTTCACCTTCACCACAGACCAACCACAGCTGCACTGCGCAACCTTCTTCATCGGGGAGCCCGAGGAGCTCATCACGATACAGTACGACTACGTAAACATCGACTGCCAAGGCGGGGACTTCCTGAAGGTAAGAAGCTGCAAGGCGCTGGTCTCCTGTGACTTGTGAGGTGTTCGCTGTGTGTGCAAGGGGCAGGTGCACATCTGTGTTTTGTGTATGTTTCTGTGTACAAAACAGGCTTTCACAAAGCAAGCACTTCTGGGATGGCTCTTTCTCCTCCCTGAGAAACTCTGAGTATGTGCCCCCCCCCCCCCCCCC